GGTTCAGGAAAGCAAACAAACCATCCATATTGGACCTGATATTCACCAATGAAAAACTCATGCTCGATGCGTGATCAGTGGCACTCCCCTAGGTCATGGTGATCATGCAGCCTTGCTCTTTATGTATACCCGTTACGCGGTAGCTCCCAGGAAAATAATCCAAGCGACGTGGACCATAACACACTACAAAACCTGGGTTCGGTTGGTTGAAACTATCAACTGAAGTTTATTTAGTCTAAGACACGCCGAATAGTATCCGGATAACTTAGGTGAACAAGTTTAATATCACGGTTGCTGATGAATCGGCAAGTATGGCTATCCGTTTGAGCAACATGCCCTCGTTTGTAGGGAGTAGGAGACGTCAGTGCATTTGGATGAGTCTCCGATCATCAACCAACTGAGAAGTATGGACCGCTGGGCAGAGCACTTTCACTCGCAGTTCAACTGACCTCCACCATCCATCAGTACATGCAGTACACCTTGTTGTCCACCCTGGCTCGTCCCACTGAATCCACCCAGCGAAGCGGAAGTCTGCCTTGAGATTCGACGCTTGAAGCGGTTCAAGGCTGCCGGCTCAAGCGGACTTCCTCCGGAGTTGTTCAAGTACGGCAGTGTGACGATCATTAACCAGCTGACCTCGCTGTTCACGAAAATCTGGTATGAAGAGAAAGTGCCTTCCTCTTGGGGCGAATCAGTTATTGTCCCGATTTTCAAGAAAGGCACTCGCACTACATGTGTACATCATAGCTTGATCAGTCTTCTTTCTCTTGCCTTCAAGCTATTGGCACCAATTCTGCTTCGCAGACTATCCCCAGTACGTGAATCATACTACCGTGAAGAACAAGCTGGTTTCTGTCCTGGCCGCGGATGCGTGGATGAAATGTTCACGCTCCGCCAGCTCCTCGAACATCGCCACATTTATCACAGGCCCATTATCATTGCATTCCTAGACATACGAGCCGCTTTTGACTCCGTTGATCGACCTGCTATATGGCGTTGCTTGCTAAAGAACGGGGTTCCAGAGAAATATACCGCCATCTTACGAACACTTTACCTTCATACCTTTGGCAGAGTGAGAGTCTATGGCAAGCTTTCTCCGCATTTCGCTCTCAACAGCGGTGTGCGACAGCGCTGCTCTATGTCCCCATTCCTCTTCAACTTCGCAATCGAAGACGTTCTGTCGAATGCTCTAGAAGGTTTCCAACATTTTGGCCTGGAGCTTCTACCGGGTGAGCGCGTGACCGACTTAGATTATGCTGATGATATCGTTTTACTTGGTAACGATCCTCAGGGTATGCAACTCATGCTGGATCGCTCGACGATTGTAGCATCGAACTATGGCATGAGTTACGCCCCATCGAAGTGTAAAGTACTTCTCAAGGATTGGCTTTCACCTGCTCCCGTGCTCACTCTTGAAGGTGTACAATTTGAACAGCTAGATAGTTTCGTCTACCTTGGGAGCTGTGTTTATGCTTACAGCACTATCAACAAAGAAGTTTCACTTCGCACCGCTAAAGCTTGATCAGCATTTGTCAATCTGAAGCACTTATGGCGTCGTCGCGACGTCTCGTTCTCGCTAAAGGGCTGCTTTTACAGCGCATCTATTCGCTCTGTGTTGTTGTATGGGAGCGAGTCCTGGCCGATTCGCGTGGAAGACATGCGTCGTCTTTCTGCCTTCGATAACGGTTGCTTAAGGAGGATTGCTCTTGTTTGGTGACAACATCGAGTTAATAGTAATGACGTTCGACGTCGCATCTTGGGGAATGCGAGTATTCCCTTCAACAAGCTGGTTTTATTGCGCCAGTTGTGATGGCTCGGGCACATCCTACGCATGGCACCTGAGCGTCTACCACGTGGCGCTCTATTCGCTCGTCAAGGACCTGGCTGAAGTCGACCGCGTGGTGGTCAGCCTTCTACATAGCGGCAGCACATGAAATCGCTGACGTCGTGTCTAGCCGCTGTTGGACCCGCACGTCTTCCAGGATGGGGACCCAAAGATGAGGAGTACCAATGGCTTAACACTCGAAGACATGGCCCGCAACCGGAATCAGTGGAAGAATTGTGTACAGTATTGTATTGATTCACATGTTTAATACTTCAAACATTGAAAATGACAAAAACTAGGAAAATCGGCGTGTGAAAAACAAACTAAAAATGTTTCGTTCTACTTTTTGCCAAAAGTTCCTTTCTTCCAGAAGTGTGTTGCTCGCTTTCAACTACTATACCACGATGATTATGACGCAATGACTGTCTCTTATCCGCTGATCTCCATGGTTTTCTATTGGCTCTGTGTGTAGTTGCTAGACTGCTGAGATTACATACATTACATACATACAATTCCAAACGCCACATAGCATGCCCACCGAACCGGCCCGAATCGGAACACCTAGGAGGTCTACGTTATCCACCGCATGCATTGTCCTAAACTTGTGCGCGAGGACAAATTGGATCATAAGTAGGTTTTAACAGAACGCCTTACGCCATACCCTAAGTTACTGTACAAGCATGTGGACAGCTTTCACAAGGTGAAATAATGTATTTTCCCCTCTTCGAGCAGCGGATGGACTAACGCGAACAGTCAAAGAAGCGCCGAATGTTCTGTAACAGCAGTACTTGCCAACTTTACAATGTGTTTCGTGGTCTCTTTAACCTTTGGGAGGCAGCGTGCCAACACCAGGAACTACTCATATTCACTTTACGGCAAACAGTGTGGCGAAAAAGCCGCTGTCTATTCACCCACACAGCTCTGCCGGAATTGACAACACTTGCTTAGGTTCTTGCAATGACAACTGAGGGCTTGGTTAAACCTTTGGCACATTCCTTCCAGCATTGCCTTAATGAGATGCACACGCATATAGGGAGAAAACATGGGGAAATGCGTCCAATTCGCGAAGTGGGCGGTCGTTCTGATCTAGCAAATTACCGTCCATTGACTTCTAGTTCTCTCAAAAAGTATGGTGGCTGTCGTTTACTACGCACTCATGTCTTAGCTGGAAGCATTCGGCTATATAGCGCAAGAGCCACACCATTTCCACCAGAGTCGATCGTGCATTAGCAATCTACTGTTAGCGCGAGACGGTTGGACTGGAACAGGGGTTTTGATTCAGGAGCTGTTTTATTTTACCTGGATTTTTCTAAGGCTTTCGACTGGGTGGACCAGTGCATCCTTTTTGCCAAGCCTCGGCAACACGACATTGGTGACCCTAGGGTGAATATGTAGTTTTTCTGTACGATCGTCAGATGAGAGTGCGTGAATCCATGTCAGACTAGATACATGTCGAATGCGATGTGCCAAAATGTTCAGGACTGAGGCACCTTCTGTTATTGGTCCTCATTAACGACATATAAACGTAATCACTTCAAACAGCTTGCTTTACGCAGAGGGTGTCTAAGTTTGGCAAGCTACGAAAGTGTCAGATAGTTACATTCAGCTTCAGGACGACTTCGATAAGATGTATGTATGGCTAGTCCAGTCGGCCGGTGGCCGAGTAGTCTGCGCGTTTGGTTTGCAACCGTAAGGTCACCGGTTCGAATCCGCGAAGGGGTGGGCGTCCTCGCGGTATACTCAGCCCGCGCGCGACTGGTAGTGGTCGCACGGCAGCGAAGCGCCGTTACGGCGTACAGCTGACACATTATTATATATTATTACAACGTAACTAAATGTCAAGCGCCCCATTTACGACACCAAAGGGTTCGCGTTTATAAACTGAGATATCAGAATTGCCAGCATCATATGCGCAAAAAAAGATCTCGATGCGCTGCTTCAGGAAGGCCTCGGCTGCTCGAAACAGTCCAAAATAACGTTCACGAGGGGCATCCAAAACGTGAGGCTCTTAGAAAGAGCTTTCGGTTACTTCGATTCACTGATTTTCCCCCAACTGCTTTTGTCTACATACGGCCTTATGTGGAATGTAGAATTCAAGCCTGGCAGCATGCTAGAAACGGGACCTAATTGTTTCGGAGATTTCGAAACCTCGGTTGACCAAAAACGTCAAATAGCCATAGGAACATCGACTGAGAGTAACAGTTTTCAGTAGATTGTATCCGTGCCCGTGTGGTGATCTTATCATGGTTTATCAGATTCAAAGGAACCCAGTTCACACCTGCTATCATCAGTTGAAGCTCAGTCATAACAGCGACTATCGTCTCAAACTGACAAAACAGTGCTATCTGTTGGAGTGGCGTCGAAAAATATTTTCTTGGAACGTGTTTGCCACACGGTATTCTTGCTAAGAATCACCTTGTTTAGCCCACACATTTGCTCTGCTCAGATATCGTGTCGACAGTGCACTGAATGCATTACATCACATCATTTAATCCACACGACCCGTTTTGTTGGTAAAACCGATGGCGGTAGCTTTGTAAATCACATAAAACTATGTGCGAACGATTCAGACTGAGAATGTTTGATCAATGTGCTCCCCATTAGTGGTTTTTCACTGTGTATCGTAGTTTTTCGTTTTCTTTTTGGAACTCCTGATCGACCTTCTGTTTTTTTATCTGCAACATGCCAATACGCATTAATCTTTTCCCATCACTCCTGGCTAAGTGATCCGATGTGCGGATCCACAGACACTCTCAACTGAATTGTGCCGGTTGGTTAGCACTCCAACCGCACACTGCTACTCTGTAACTCAAATGTGATCGCTAATTTGCTTAGTAGGACTATCGTACTCAGTGTGTGTTGTGGATATTGGTGAATCCACTTAAGTATCATACGAGATTGTGAATTACATGCTTTACCGAATAATTTCTTATCCTGAACTGCTTCTTAAACGGTCTAATGGGAACGATTAAACTCCGTACCATCGTAAATTTGATCTTGTTTATGCAAGTAGTCTCCTCAGTTTACTGCTCCGTAATCCGTTAATAATAATACATGTATACTCATAACAAGCAAGATTCCTCTCAAATCACAAACGGATGCTTATTTCACTAAACCCGCTTTCATGGGTGACTCCGGAAATTACACTTCTCTCTGTTTTATACTCTTGATTCAGAAGCTGATGGAGCCATTTTACTTATCACTGGCTCCCATGGTTCTGGAAAAACCACTCATTTAGCGGCCCTGACAATGTTGTTGAGGTACCCACATTGGCAGCCCCAGCAGTTCAGCAAGGATTTCCCACCAAAAATGGCCAGTCTTCTGGGTTCAACGGGCCTCCGTTCAACTTATACCGTTTCCGCCGAATCGGACACGCTCAGCTCTAACTTGGTTGGATACATCGTGCTGCCCCACTTCGTTGAAGGTGTCGCCGCTTCCGGCCTGCCTCCGAATTTCCGTCTCGTTTCCCTACTGGACGACTGGTCCGACCAACTGGTTCATTGCGCCGAGCTGCTTTCACAGTACTCTCCGATCGCAGAAAAGAAATTGAATAAGCTGAAGAATTCATCGGACAACATGGATACTCGGTCTTCTGATGCCTCTTTAGACGCTCTCTTAAGGTGCGCACATCATTCATTCACTATGAATTGCCAAATTTTTATTCTCCAGGAGCGAAATACTACCAACTTTTTCTCTGGTTCCACAGACCTTGAATTTGGATTTCACCCCTGGTTCATTTTACTGTTTTGTTAAAAGCATATCGGTAGGAAATTATACAATCGATTAACAAGAGATTGAAACTTCAAAACCTTTTACACACCATTTATTGACCTGATATATAAAACATTAGCTTCCTGAGAGCTGCACCTTGTGTCCTGACGGGACCTGTTTCGTTATTTATCTATGCAAATGCTTCCCTTCGTTTTCCACTAGGTCAGTATTGCGAGATCGTCATTCATTTGTCATTTATGAACCCGAATTGCAAACCAAACTGATGGCTAATAGTTTGTGTCCTAGATCTCCCAAACCCCGGAGGAGGATGTAGCGGTAACACAAAGTTTATTAGGCTGTGTACTTTTCGATGTGCAGTTCGTAACGACAGTAAGACATAATCCAGCTGACCTGTTGTCCGTTGAATTGCATTGCGCAATTCACCAGCAGATCTCCTAGGACCACTTGGAACGAACCAGTGAAACAGATTTCGTTTCCAACTTTTCTATATTTTGGCTCGGAACTGGAAAACACATATCTTTCCTATTGCTCCGTCAGCCCCCCTCCCGTTATTTTGCTTTAAAACACGTAGCGAAAAACAAGTTTGTCTACTGATGCTAGCCGTACTTACGTTCAGAGTTCAGTCTTCCGACTGCATCGTCACAGCTCTCTTAGAACGCATCTTCTGTCAAACCGTCTTGCTTGCGTCACTGAGGACCGATAAAGGCGTCCATCCTGCTACCAATCCAATTCCAATCAGTATTGGAATTCCTTTGATTCTTTCTTTGCTACTTCCGAATCTAACTCAGTTTGACTGCGTCCGTCTCTCTTTCGCCACAGCTAATTCCATAGCCTGCGTTACCATCTGCGCTGTCTAGCCACCTTTAAAGACCACTTGCTAAACGGTACGCACCACCACACACATACTTACACACGTGACCAAAGGTTATACATTTCTACTGGCACGTGTGTCTAGAAACGCTTGTGTGTAGTTGTGCGCGCATTTCCAGTGTGCGATGCCGTTCCATGACACCACTTCCCACTATAACCGAACACCGGCTTGACGTGGTCCCTTTGCTTGACTTGTGTATAGGTAGCTGTATCACTTCTAGAAGTCAAACTATGGAAGCTGCTACACGCGTCAATGGAATTCCAATGATCTCAGTCTGTGACCACCTATGAACGTGGCGAAACACCAATATGCCTGCTGAAAGTCCACTGTTGCGACGCTACCAGTAACGCTGCGCAGATCTGGTCTGGAATCGGCAGACGTTGAGATGTCGGTTCCCTTTGTCCAGTACTGCAAACGCAACCCCGCTCACACTCAGTGGAGCTATCTGGAGACTACTGCTGATGCACACCTGCTGGTTTTCGGTTGCAAGCCCTTTTGCTTTTGATTAGACTCCGTTGAACCTGTGCCACTTTCACAATTGCTGAGTAACAACTACCTCCGCATACCCGTCAGCTATCATCAACCTAGGTGGAGGGATTGTTTATCAATACTGCAGTTGTGTAGGTGAAAACCCCATGCCTTTGGCAGATGACAGTGCGCACAAGTAGGTGAAGATACTGATCTAAGAACCCGGTACGTGTTTGCGTAGCTCCTCTTCCTGACTTGTGTTTCGGTGCCGCTAACTTAGCCGGATAGGGACCACATCAAATTTAGCGCAGTAGCGCAGTCCTTAATGCGAGATTCTACAATACTCTGACTCACTGACGGAACTAGTGGGGCTATTTTACCCATAACTTAATCTTAACCACTAGTCCTCTGCTTCATAGCTCCAAAGATTCTCCCCGTCTGGCTAAACGACTCTTTGTACCTGGGACTACATTGACGTCACTTGCTCTCAGCCTTTCTCTGCACTGCCAACTTTTGTTGTTTAAATCCTTAAGTTAGAAAAGCCCTGTCGATATTGAAATCTACTTTTGCCATGTTTAGTCAACAACTAGTCTCTTTTGTGTTCAAGACCTGATCACTTTATTTATGAACGTATCTCGTGTCTGAATCTCACCAGGTCCAAGGTGTCCCGGTTTACCGAACTGCTAAAATTGTCCTCAATGTTTCCAACCATGCGATACGCCTTCATGGTAGATGCAGTAGACCGCCTTCAACCCTTCACACTGGACTGGCTGCCGGAAATTTTACCCGAAGTAAGCCGCAATATTCACTGAGAATGCATTACTTAGTGATGTCTTCACTGTTGTTCGTTTTTTCCTCGCCAGCTTCTGTTGACTTACCTCATCGAACCATGCAAATGTGTAGCAAGCACTTTCTTTTCCCTCTTCTCTCTCACCATCGAGATCTTCGCAATCCAGGTTAGCTAGTCATTCCTGTTCTTTCCACAAAGCCGTCGCTTCTTGGCATGGCTTTGTGTGCAAAATGACAATAGAGGTTAACTGGAATTCGCCTCAACTTGAATTCACGCCTGAATGCATCTTTGTAGATGAAAGTTCGATGTTGCCCGCTCGCAACACCGCCCTGCGAATTGATACTCAATTCTTCGTCTGCTTCAGCTGAGTCCCCGGGGGACAAAGATGACCAGCTTCACTTAAAAGTGCATCGCGAGACAGGTTGGTGTTGCACACCACTCGCACACCGAATACACAGGCGACTAGCTACCTCCAATGCAGCAATCTGATTCTGATTTTCTGGGTTGGTCTCCTCATGGGTTAGTTTGCCATTAACCCCCGAGTGACTGAATTACTTGGCTACATATGATTTTCAGTTTAGTTAATAGTTAACAAGATACCATCGGCGCTTTCTATGGACACAAACGAACCGACTGATCAAACTCTGACACATCGTCCCTCCACAGAAGTGCTTTTACCTTACAGATTACCTTGAAAGTGCGTCTGGCAAAATTTGTAGGGTGAATGTTTGTTTGTTTTTATCCATCTTTCGTCTTCTAAGCACGGGTGCTCGTAAATTCCACGCCGTCTGCCTTCATTTTGCACGCCACCACGTTGGAACCACTTCCGCATGCTTTAAATTTGCTGGTTCCTCACTGTAGGTTTTTCTGTGACTTACATTCCCTCACATTACACATTAGCTGAAAGTTAGAGACACACTTCAGCTAGCTGTACATTAATACAAAGGATAAGATATATGAAGAGCGAGATACGAAACATCACAGAATATAAAAACTTAAAACCTAGTAATAGAATGCGAAGCGTCGTGTTATCCATGCACTGTTAGATCGTTGTTGGAGGGGGAAGATAGCAGGGAAGGGGAGGAACAGTGACTCACGAGACAAAAGCCACTGATGTCGGATCTTCCTTATGTCAACCAGTGTATCCAAGCAAACGTGTTTATCATCCTTGGGATCCCAGCTTGACAGTGGGGAGACATCAACCAACTGTGCCGTGTCGCAACTCAAGTCGTGCTGCGCACACCTCGGATTTCACATGGACTTAAGTTTCACTCTACATTCGTATAGTTTGTGTCTCGTACCACTTGAACTGTATCGATACGTTCCATTTGCTCCTACCCGCGTTTCCAATGATTTCCGACATTTAATTCCCTTAAGAATCAATCACAGTAGCCTTACTCATTCTTGGTTCCAACCACCGCAATCTCCTAACACGACGCTATCCCATTGACTGTCTTCTAGAACGTCCGGTTCATCTTTAGCTGTGATGCTAAATCAGCCGCAGCGCGACAACTAGCCACTCGTCCTGACTGCATAGCATTCACTATTTCTGGTCTGAACTTGATGGAGCGAAAAGCGGCCATTCGCAATTTGTTTGGACGCTACGGAAAGGTTTTGCGAGAGTCTGCTATCGGTAATCAAGTAAGTAACTTGAACCAGCGTTATCCGGTAATGTTTTTATGCATTTATGGACATAGTCTTTTATTCCTAACTCATATTCCAACTGCTTGTAGTGAAAAAGTTTGAGCTGGGAAACCTTGCTGTAGTGTTTATCCTCGAGGCCCTAATTAGTCACGATCTTATGGCTTATGGAGAGAAGAGTACTACTTTTCACAATTTTGTATACGTCATGTAATCTCTAACTACAGCCGCTACTTTGCCCGCATTCTTGAATCGGAAAGTGTGGTGACATAAACACACTTCAAATGGCCTTTAGGTTTACTAAACTCCTTGGTCCTTTCACAGCCTCGCGATATCCACAGTTCCTAGTGTACAACACACAAATCCCCATCCGATTGGGGCATTTTTTAAGGTTTTTTGGGATGTTTTCTGATTTGGGGATTTTGTTCACAAACGCTGCATTACAAGGCTAAGCAACCTCATCAATGCAACATTTAGTACGGTAGCCACATATTTGCGAAAATATCGCGCAGCTCGATGATCCATCCAACATCCTTATGCACACTCTTAATTACGCGCAAGATATCCGGCTGCTAACGCTTTGGCACTAGACTTTGAAGCGGTGCGCCACGTGATTGTATTGTGTGTTGCCCCCACATAACCATCTCTCATCTAGCTGGTGTCCCCTCCTCGGTAACTAAAGCGGTCTTTAGATGTGATAGGCATTGCTTTTTTAATCTACCTTTTATCCTTTGCGACTGTCATGACGCACAAATAGTTCCGGTTTTATTTTAACTTTTCATCCTTTGTCCGTGTGTGTCTACTGTTAGTATGCGACTAGCAAACCATTAAAACGTCATAGTTCGCAAGAAGATTAAGGTTATTTATCACTTCACGCCATAGTTTTTAAACGGAAGACGTGCCGTTGATTTATCAATCCAGCTTTCTCGTGTCTCGATGTTTGAAGATTTATGACTGCAACCTTTCACAGGTGTTTACCAAGTGGTTGAGGTTGCAGCACAGTGGCCGGGGTATTTCTCAACTCCAGTTGACTTGTAAACTGGTGGCCAGGAAGCAGTCTTCCTTCGACATCTATCACGCCGATTTTTTGACGCATTTTTACTCTTTGCTACAACACCAAAAAGCTTTTGAACCGCTACAACTTTCATCTTCCAACTTCTTGACGTTACGCCTTCATGAACTTATTCAAATATGCTACGCTGGTTGTCATTCTTCCTTGCTATCTTTTGCACCATCAAGCTGTCTGTGTTGGCGAACAAGAGGAACGCAGAACTTCCACTCTACTTGAGACTCGCTTGCGACGAGCTTCGCTTGTACGGCACTTACGAAGAAGTGAGTCACAATTCATCCACATCGTGAAGCGATTTAGATTGCGATCCTTTTCTCATGGATGTTTCGGATTTTAGATAGCTATTATATTTTAGGTAGCTTAATGTTCAGGACCATTCATGTTCATTGGTACCACCGGAATCCGCATCTTTTCAACAACTATGTTTTGACTCGTAGATTTTACCCATGGAAATGCAAGGACACAATTTTGCCAAGAGTCCTCTTTTCGACAAATCTCCTCAGGCATTTAGGATTATAAACTGCAAGGGCAGAACACAAATACCTGCTGAAGCCAAAGAGATGGGAATAGTGGAATAACCTGCCCATTGCTTTTGTCCACAAACTCATCTTGTGAAAACGAACAGCGAAATCACATTATCCAGTGAAACTAGCACAATGAAATTCGTCGCATCGGTTTAATGAAGTATTCTCTCGGTTGGCATCGAGAGTGATCCTCACTGCACTCTTTTTATACACTTCTTTATTTGAGCACCGGTTACGTTTTTCGGATTCATCTCTAATTTTTGTGAGTAGATTCGGATATCGGAATGTCATGGGTTACACGGTAGTGCATGGGGGTGATGTCATCCATTACCCTTGGAGTAGCTTGTCAAACTGAAGTAGATAAGCTATGTGTTCTACCGCCACTGGTCCTTAAGTCAAGGCTTGCAATTTCTGTGCTACGTCATCACGCTTCTGTGTACCATTGAATCTTCGACCGACATGAGACCGTCTGAAGTGAGAGTAGCCACACTTTTCTCTGGGTGTCGCCGTTGAAATCTCACAGCCATGTTCACCCACAATTTTGCCTCTAGCTTGGTCTAATGGATTCCTTGATGCTTGACATCGCCACGTTCATCGTTGCAGCTCCACAACCCGGACCTCAGGCCTCAGGCCAACGTGATTAACAATGACGGTCACGTCACTCTACCTGACTTCACTTCAACCAGACTAAGCAACTAGCCTTAGCGATCCGATACTTTGCTTTAGTGACTCACCGCGCTTAAACCTCGTATCCATTCTAGCCTGCTTTGTAGTGCTGGTATTACGCTGATGATGAAACGATGAAAACTCTTTTTACATCCGATGGAAATTTCTCCCGCTAAATTTTTGCCTTGTCAGCGTTATCACATTGAGCACGTAAGAGGTACATCATGTGTATGAAGATTGATCCAGATCAATCGGACCCCATCTGCAGTATGATGTGCATCCCAGCTGCCTATGAAGAATGTTTAGGTTCTTCTCTATTTCTTAACGGATGTTGTAGATGGCATTTGCCAGGAGGCCCCACAGTCATTTGCCGGTTCCTCAGCGCCATCCTAACTTCTTTCCGGAGTCTGTTTACAGAGACGCCATCTACCTATCCGAGCGACGGTTTTTAATAAACCCTTTAACGAACAGTCTGTTCTAGGTTGGCATATTCATTCAACTTTGAGTCACCAATTTAAGTACTTATATTTTTAGTAGTCACTAGCCCCACTCTTCCGAATGCTCTATCTCAGATTCTATGGGATACTTACTCATACAACATATTGGTTAGTCACCGTTCACTTTCGGGTAGACAACGTAAAGCTTTCACAGCGATTTTCCTGTTTTTTTCGTATTTTTTCCTCCGCTTTTTTCAGGCACCCAGTCAATACTTCGCATTTTTCCTCCGTTCACTTTAGTATGTGACCAGTTTGCCCTCAATCTATTCCAAATCATCTTTCATAGATGCCTATGCATCACACTCACTAAGTCCGAGGCTGGGTTTTCATGTTAGATTGCCTTCGGTTTTCACATCGCATGCCCAATTCCATTTTGTTGTAACGTTTCCCCACTTAATCTAATTTTGTTCTCATGTTGATCCACAGTACAGTAACTTTTAACTTTTCTGAGCATTGTGACTTTCAATTTTCAAAGACTATGAAGACCATCGAATACATATGCCATCAATTTTACCTCTCTAAATCTCGTATATGGCTTTACAAAACACATATATTGCCTTGTGTAGAATATTGTTCACTAGTCCGATCTAGTCTGTGGTAATCTGATCAGCATGCTCTTTAGTAGGTCCAGAGAGGCTTCACCAGAAAAACTATGTGGATATTCCTCAAAGATGACATGCAGAGAGTTATGTGACAAACTTAGATTTGAACCGGGTCTGGCTTTGGAGAATAAAGCTGAACCTAGGTTTTCATTACAATCATAAACCGTCAAATTCACCGTCTTGAAAACGGCGCTCACATATCTTTAAACAGCACATATCCAGTTCGTAACAAAGGGATCAAGGTCGTGATTCTAAAATTTGCTACGAAAAGCAGAGGACGTTTCTTTCCAATTCACTACTCAAAGATTTGGAACAAACTTCCGAGAGACATCAGAACATGCTGTATATTGTGTAATTTAAGCTTGCGATTAATAAGCAGTTAACTGTCCAAAACGTGATTAATATGTTCGGGACATCACAATCCCTAGATAACGCTTTCGAAAACGGTATCGATGGTGCCTTAATAAATTTTCAAAACATACATATAACATTTTGAACCACATCCCTTTTCCTTTCCTTTCATTTATATCTTGGTCCGAACATCTATGACTGTGAAGAACCCTCGTTTAACGACAGGAACAAACTAGCAGAACAATTATGGTTATTTATGTGGCCTTAAGTAAACATTGCGCCGATGCATTTTTTGGAAAACTTACTAGTGCAATGGCGTGCAAAGGGTGTACCAATTTTGCTCTGTTCCTTCTAGCGAACAGCTTCTCACATCCTCGAGGAATATACACTTTATTTATGTATTCATATTTTCCTATTTGGTACAGCTTGACAACCAGCTGAAAGCACTGCCGAGCACCATACCAAGCCTGGTACAATGTGTCATTGCTCGAACTGAAACCGAGTGCGGATCACGCATAACACTAGCGACTCTCGCTTTCATCTGTTGTTCTCGACGGCCGTTAACAATGGAGGAGCTACACATTTTGCTAGACACCTGGCTTGCCGACCCTAACCACATATCCGAAGAACCGAAGACCGGTGAGAGTTTAACCTGGTCATCCTTGTGCCATGGACTGTGCGATTTAAGTGATTCCAAAGAGATGCTTGAAAGAGAGCTGCTGATCGCTCAATTGTTGTCGTCAAACTGGTCCGTGCAGTCTAAGACAGTTCAGCTTCAAGGCCATCTGCCCTCCCTCGCCTTCACTATCCTCATTAGGCGTCTCAGTCCCCTGTTTGCAGGGTTCGGGGATCAAAGCGACGATATACATGCTGATGAGGAAAGCATTGTCTCCGATGAGCACCTCAAACTCCGGGGTTTGATCCGGTTCCGGAGTGAAGATATTGCCTCAGTTGTTCGCGAGGTTGTATTTGGCAAAGTTGATCGACTGCATTCATATTCTCTTCTTGGATTCCATCGCCCCACGTCCGCATATGCTACAAATTTCCAGAACAAGCGTTTCAGACCCGAAAAGCTGGAGGATACCGAAGAAATCAAGGAAATCGATGAGAAATACGTTCATTGGATCTTGGCTACCAAGTTAATTGACCCACGGGACATAATTCATCACTTCGTGAGTTCATTGATCATTGCATTGAATACAGCTGATACAAGCAGGCACTATTCGGAATTGATTTGCTCTGATTTAAAGTAAAAATAATCACTGATGCACGCTATCATCCACACATACTTCACGCCACATTGGCACGCTGTCGGCTATGTTTATTTCACGGCCCTTGTCTGCCACCTGAGTCGTCGCGATAGCCACTGGCTACCACTTACTAATCGATATATTCCTTGTACATCAGCCGTCTGGTTACACAAAGGTAGGAGGAATGCTCACTTTTAGTAGAAGTATGGAATATCAAGCTTTTCATAACGTCCCGGTGACCACCTTGAGCAGGCTTTGCTGGGACGTCACATACCACAGGCTTGTTTGCGCATCACATTGAAACTTTGGGCACACGCATGTTGATTCTTGATGACTTCCGCTGCAAACTAGCATCACAAACTGTGCGTGCTGACTTCCATGTTATTAACTACCGATGCCTTCTAGTCAGTAATGGGTTGTCGCCTCACGGAAACCCACTGCTCTCAGGTAATTTTCTCCAAATGCTCTCTGTTCTGTGTCCGGGTAGTGATTGTCCGATGGACAAAAGCTTTCGATGTTCATTTTATGAATTAGCAAAAAGACAAAGTTGAACCATCCGCTCAAAAGATTTGCGGAGGTTATCACCTTCCTGTCTCACTCACAGTTCCAACGCCCTCCTACTTGTAGAATAGACAGAGGAATATTGTAGTATCCAGCGTAAGTCGTTGAAGGCGTCCGTGTTTTCTTCTAACATGTGTGCCCATCTGTATACTCAATTTCAATTCAAGAAAGCGTTATGCACCCAAAATTGTGAATATTCAGCCGTTTCACACACGCCTTCAGCATTGTAAGAAAATTTAAAACACTGAATACACAAGTAGGTTGATGATTGGTATAGACAACAATATGGTTAAAACGCAAACTTGCTTATGAACTCCAGGACAGCTATGGTCTGGTGGCCCAAAAACGCACCAACCAGGGAATTACGGCTGAGTGGTAAGCATTTATACGAGCCTAAATGGATTTATACTTTTGTCTGGTAGAGGGAGTTGATACACATTCAGACAGTGCACCATCAGTGTGTATATTTGGAGCAAATTTTTCAATAAACTGGTAGGAGTAGACACCAGAATGTCGCAAAGTTCGCCTTTGGAGTGCCGCAACATCAAGACGGTTGCGTCTATGATCTATTTGGGGTTTAAAACTCCTCCTTAAGAAGCCACAGAATGTCACATAGGGGCAATACGTCCAATGATGTAAGACAAATGGTGATAAGTCGCATATATATATATATATATATATATATATATATATATATATATAAACAGCAGCACATGTAATAAACATGCAATCACCAAAAAACCATGGGAATCCAAGGGAAGTACAGTTTGACTAATAATAGCACGAAAAGCTTATTTTGTTTTCTTGCGCCGAATTTTGTCATTCTTAATCTACGAGACAATAATCGTGTGCAGCAATACAAGTCTGTACACAATGCTTCCACTGATTCGAGTTGCGGACCATGTCTTCAAACGTGTTAAGCTGTCGGCACACCTCATCCTTAGCTCCCCATCAAGGTCGTACGCTTCTAGCGGCGGCTAGACGTGATGTCATCGATTTCATGTCCTGTCGCCAGATGGAAGGCTGACCACCACACGGTCGCCTCCGGTCCAATCCTACACGAGTGAATAGAGCGCGGCGCAACGAACGCTAATGCGCCATGCTTAGGACGTGACGAGGCCATCTCAACTGATGCAGCGAAACCAGCTTGCTGAACTTAATACTCGCACTCTCCAAGACGCGTTCTCGAATCATCCCTGTGAACTCTTTGTTGCGACCACATACGAGCGATCCCCCACAAACAACCGTTGTCGAAGATAGAAAGGCGACGCATGTCCTCCTCATGAATTCGCCAGGACTCGCTTCCATACAACAATATTGAACAAACAGAGGCACTGTAAACACGGTCCTTTATGGAGATGGACTGGCCCCTAAGATAAGCAGACATGAAGAGGCTAGTTACGTTCGACTATCGGTGCCTTCGCAGTTTGGCTCACATCTGGTGTGAATACCGCGTAACGAGCGTGTTCGGCGCCTTGTTTACGGCCCAGGAAAAGGGAATGAACCGCTCAGCACCGTTATTTCCTGCACCAGGTTCCGATGGCTGGGCCACGTGTTGCGCATGCCAGCCCACCGACTCCCTCGACGTGCGTTGTTTGCTCGCCGGGGATGTGGATGGAATAAGAGGAGAGGTGGCCAAGCGATGACTTGGTCCAGAGGAATGAAGTCCCTCACTTCGGAGCTAGCCTCGGTTGGAGCTTCACGGCTCCCTGCTTGGGGTCCAAAAGACGGTGAACACGTTTGGCTGGATACACTTGCTGACATGGCGAGGAGCCGACCTCAGTGGCGTTCCTGTTGTGACTTTCTTCGTCCCTCCCCATCCCTTTTAGCCTCCCTTCCATTTACGACCTTTTTTCGTAGGGTAAAACATAAGTAAACTTTTTGTTTTTGCCTAGTAGCCGACTGGTCGCTTACCGGAACCATGCTAATCCGTTGCTTGTAGCTCAGCTGGCATGCAACTGTCGTATTTATTTTTCCATTATGTATTGTATGTATGTATGCATTTCCTTTATGTATTGCGGTACAATAGCGGAGGTGTTTTTCCACCTCTAGCTGACATGTATAACGATGATGATGATGATGGAGATGGACACAATACGACAACGACGCAAGTCTTTCACATTGGTAAATGCTGATCGGGCCTTAGTGATGCGAAAAACAACTTCCTTACTGATAGTGCCGCCAGCAGAAACACAGCTTTCAAATTAGACGAAGTATCTACTTGTTCAAGCTCTACACCATAAAGCGTGAGCACGGGAACGAGTATGGGCCAGTCGTGCCGAAACGCTTGTACGCTTCGATTGATCGAAGCTCATACCATACTTGATGCTTTAACTTACAAACGATTCAGCTTAAGTTGCGTGCTCTGTGTATCGTCACCGAGTAAGGCGAAATCATCAGTATGATCTACCTCGGTCACTCGCTCACCTGGTAGAAGCTCTAGGCCAACATGTTGGGTGCCTTCCGGTGTTCTTGACAGGACGTCCTCGATTGCGAAGTTGAAGGGGAATGGAAACATAGAGCAGTCCTGTGGCACACCGCTATTGACAGCGAAGGGAGAGAGGCGCTTGCCCTAGACCTTCTGCCGGAGATATGAAGGCAAAGTACGCGTAGCATGGCAGGACGCTTCTCTGGCACCCCCTTCTTCAAAAAGAAACACCATAAGACAGGTCGTTCAACGGAGTCAAATGCAGCCCGTATGTCTAGAAATCGGACGATAGCGGGTTTGTGGTAAATGTGGCGATGTTCGAGGAGTTGCGGAGTGTAAAAATTTGATCCACGCATCCACGGCCTGGGCGTAAACCAGCTTGTTCTTCGCAATGGTATGTTTCACGTATTGGGGACAGTCTACGATGCAGTATGGATGCCAATAGCTTGAGGCAACCGAAAGAAGACCAATCCCGTGATGATTGACACGAAATGTGAGCGCCCCCTTCTTGAAAACCTGGACAATAATTGATTCGTCCCAAAAGGAAGGCACTTTTACTTCAAGCCAAATTTTTTCGAACAACGATGTCAGCTGCTTAATGATCGCCATTCCGCCATACTTGAACAGCTCGGTAGGAAGTCTATCTGAACCGATAGCCTTGAATCGCTTCAAGCGGTGAATGTCGAGGTAGACTTCCCCTTTGTCATATGTATCAAGTGGGACGAGCTGGGGTAAGAAACAAGATGTACTTCGTGGACATTGGAGGCCAGTTAAATTGCGAATGAACGTGCTTGACCCGGCCGCCCAAACGCCTCTACTGGCTGATGATCGGAGATCTATCCACTCGCAAATAAACTCACTGACACCAGAATTCTTGAGGCCAGTGGAGCAAATAAGTTGAAATAGATGGCGCGAGGGCAGCGGTTTCCATGTCCAAAGATTTGTCAAACTTCAAAGCCTCGCCATCCTTGCGCAGACTTTGCTTGAGAAGCCGTTTGGCAGAGCGGCGCTACTCGTTGCAATCTCATTCTGCCGACATATCTTTGCGATGGTCGAAAAGCTCCAGAGAGTGAGCAAAGATCCAAGCATCGGGCTAAGCCGCAGTTTGGTTATCCGGAAGTGGTCATCGCCTTCTGTTACAAGCCTAGTGTTGCTCAATATCTTGTGGGCATTGCAACTGAGCGTGTATGTCGCTGAGGACTAATAGCTCACCTGGATCGAGAAATCATTTAATCTGTTCTCATCAGTCTTGTGGGGTTTTTTTTGGAGACCCCCATAAACATGCAGATTTCCGCGCAGACCAGTACATAATCCGAGTCAATGAAGGTGAACAAAAAAACTTACAGTCCCATACGCTGTTACGCCGCCTGAAGCTGATTACAGTGTGGTCAATTTAAGACCACTTTTCTGTTGTCGAAGAGGAACGTCAAGTTGCGGAATATTTTTTCATATGCTTAAACTTGGTGTTCGAGAGAAACAGATGGTTGTCTACGCACAGTGTGCAAAATTTCTCTCCGTTGTCCGAGCGATCTTCATGGAGCGCGTTGGTGATAACCAAGGGACGTTCGTATAGTATCAGGCGGCCAACTCGTGCATTGAAATCCACAGCAAGGGCGATGTCCAAGTTATTAGCGTTACTCAAAAGTTTATGAAGCTCCCGATAAAAGTCATCTTTGACCGAGCCATTGCTGCGGTCAGTTGGAGCATACTTGCGTCTCTCCTTGAGAGATCTGTTGGTTCTACATGAACTCTGAAGCCGAACTGCACATAGTCGGCAGTTAATCGGGGACCAGTTCAGTAGTGCCGTCTCGGCCATGAAACTTAATGCTATACGAATTGTATTATTACCAAGGAACAATGATTTCTGACAGACAACAAAACGATTGCTTAACCAGTCTCATAGGATGACTGAAGTGGGGATCATAAAAGATTTTTAATCTGACACGAACAAGGAAAACTTCTTGTTTAAGGCAACTCACCGAAGCGTTCACATAAAGACATTGTGGTCTGCTTACCGATACACAGTGCACTGGGCTGGTGAGCACACCCTTTGCGTCAATCCGTCTTCCGATGGAAACAGATTTTGTCGCGTAATGTAGATGGGATAGAGGGTAGCCCAATCGCTTTTTAAAAAGCGTTAATGGGAGACGAAAATAACGTGAGAAGGAAGAATGTTCCACGTTCTGGATTTCAGAAGAACGAAACGTTTAGTCGGCAATAGAGTCGACTATGGTGTGTGCAGTTTGAGCTAGTGGCCTCTCACGTTGGTATTGTGGCTGACTTGCAACCAATCGCGACACGGGGGATTGGAGTTAGTCAGTATTTGGTACACCACGATGCGTTCTCCTCATAGGCACCGATATTCGCCGCTGTACAAGTCTAGAGCTTGCAGTCTGCGTTGGTAGGGTAGGTGAACAGTCCGCTAGCGATTTTCGTCGCCCTATATTGTGGTGCTTCGAGCGCATCAGCATTGTGGTTGCGCCAAATTCGCCAGACCTGGCTCGCCTACTCCACGTGGGGCCCCACGTAGGCATTCAGCATTTGTGAAAGGATTGATGGCTCGAACTTGCCGAACGCTCTTCGTATACGGTCAAGGTACTGACTGACTCTTCTAGATGCCTTTTCAACCTGTTTCGAGCAACCAACATCGTCTTACACGAGTATTCCGAGTTCCCTTTCCTGCGTACCATGTTGCAGCTGCTGCTCCCCCAGTCGATATTCATGAGTACACTGAATTCGTATGCTCAGAAATTGCATTTTGCCAAATTAAACTGGAGCCGGTTTTCGGATGATCACGTATATAAGCCTTGTTGAGGTCTCTTTTTAGTGCCGCATGGTCGTTCACTGTCTTGATGTCATGCTAGATCTTGACATCGTTTGCGAATAGTAGGAAGTCCGACTGAAGTTCAGTAGGTCGTTTATGAGTACTGGTAATAAAAGTTATCCCAGTACATATCCTTGGGGCACACCACACTGGACTACAATTGGGTCGAAAATGGATCTGCGGACTCACATTCAGCTGAGGTTGAATGAGGAAATTGTTTATCCAACCTAACACAGAGGCACCGATTCCATAGCTTTAATATTGGTGATGAAAAATGCGGTGGTCCACCCGGTGCGGTTCAAGTGCACCACGTCGACTTCTTATCTGATTTCGACTGACTTCGTTCAGCTTGCTTGGGCAAGTAACAAGTTTGTAATACAAGACTGATTTCGGCGGAATCCATGCTTCTGTGACACTATGAAATTGTTGCTTGCAAGGTATCCCCTTAGCTCCCCCATGAGTATACTTTCCTTAACTTTGGATAACACTGGCGGGAGAGTGATTAGACGATAGTTCGAGGGCTCCGCACAATTCCCACTCTTGTAAGTAGAAGTAACTATATCCTGTTTCCACATTGTGGGAACCTGCATTTTCTCAAGGCTTCGTTGCAAGAACCGAGCTAACGATTCGACGAGGCTTATGGCGACTGTTTTTAATGCCTTCGGTCTGATATTGTCCACACTTGAAGAGCTATGCACGCGTATGGACTGCAAAAGTGAGTACTACATGGCTTACTCTTGAGGGCGGAGTGACCTGTGTGTCAACAACGGATGAGGTGGCGATTCACTTTGAAGTGTGCCGGGTAAACTGTTGTTGAAGTTGCATCTTATGTAGTGAGCACCACACTATCTACCGCACGTAGAACTGTGATTCCGCGCTGCATTCCCCGGACCTTTTTTACGTGCCTGTAGAACATCTTAGGATCACTACTGAATTTCGTCGCTGAGTCCTTTTGGTGTTTGAGTTTGTTTTCGCGGACCAATTTGACACAATAATTTCACTGAGTTATGTAGGCATCCCAGGCCTACGCATCCGGACAGGCTTTGTAAGCGCTTGGACAGAAGAGGATCGCAAATGAGCAGCATAGAAAGAAAGTCTCCTCACATTTGTGCTAACTTCATTCACCTGGAATGACCAAGAAATATTTCGGCTTAGCGTGACGCCTAGGTACGTTACCGACACAGTGAAATGCAACCTCTCACCATTTATATGTTCTGGACATTCCACGAGCAATTAATGGTAACGATGGCCTTTGTGTAGGGAAATTGGAGCGTCATTGCATTTTAATGCATTTCGCTATAAAAAGTAAACAAACTACCGGACTTTGTTGTCTAAGGAGGACCGACAGAGCTCCAAATTCCCCGTAACTGTGTATATACCAAAGTAAGCTCAACATGAAAGTCCCCGGCATCCTTGCCCAACCTGACCTCCGTGCTTGCTTGGGCCACCTACTTCCTCGATAGGCCAACCCCTTCTGATTACGGGTCAGTGGATAAAGCTTGGCTCAGTGCACAAGTTTTGTTTTGCCACACTAATCTCTGCTCTTTCATTTCGCTGGAGATGTCACAATAAGGCAACTAAGCCATTCCTGTGCTCTCAAAGTGACTGTTTACCAGTCTTACACTACCATGGGCACAGGGGCTGAAACCTCATCGTTCACTTTGCACCCTAATGATTTCTGATGGCACCCACTGTTAGGTATATATATGTAAATCGGATATGACAGTGACTTACGAGACTCAGCGAATCAAGACTTGATAGCCGCACCGAGGATGTTGCCTAGCTTGGCAACGAAGCGCCTGTAACAGAAATGTCCAGCTAGGGGAACAGGATAACTCTCGTGCATACCCCAAGCTATAGCTGTTTTCATTAATTTCCAAATCGGTTATTGTTAGTACTACTGAGAAGGTAATGCGAAACGTCTGAAAATTCACTCTTCATAGGTGTACCCTTGATTTGGCTTGATTGACTCAACTTTTACCAGCTTTCGTCTTCTTACCTATCTTTTCAATTTGTTGGAGGAAGTAGCTGCTTTAAATTAGAAAACAATTTGGTTAGTCTGGTTTCTTCCAAGTTTCGCGGCCACATATTACTTAAACGTAAGCTGTTGTCAACTTACATGCCTTTCATTTTGTCTTGCATGCATCGCGGTAAGACAAGACTGATACCGGTGTACCATTATGTCAACCATTAGGGTCTGTCCATTTCCCTAAGGCTAATCATCTCCGTTGCAAATGCTGTGTGCTGGGTCGCGTTCAAGCAGTGCTCTGATACTGGTACCTACTCACCTGCTAGAACGCACGTTGTAGGAAGAACTACGTTTTGTTCGTTCATTTCGAGTTCAAAACTGAGGAAAGTGGACGAATAGGACAGTCTTCTCGCCGTCCACTCACACGATCACAATTCAGACGCTCAGGTTACGTTGGATTCAAATGAACGTTTCCTTTCTTTGTCTATGTCGGAGTCATCAGCACTTTTCTCAGAGCATTTTATGAACAGGGTAACCGAATCCAGGCGATTTATTCTGCAATTTATTTAACATGGTTCACGAAACGATCTTGCGAATTTGTTAAAAAAACCGGAGCACCATGCTAGCCGAGGCCCAATGAACTCTTCTAATTTCACAGCTGTTCCCGGTTAATTTAGTCACCACACTAAATTAGGAGGATTTTAAGCTGTTTCCGCCCGTTTTTCACTCACAGTACCTATACCAATTACGTTGGGAAGGAATGTTACCAAGCAACCTTACTCGCTCTTATTGCTTGGGTTTCCCGTCACTCTTCCGAGTTCATTATTTTGTAGCGCTGCTTACCATCTACGGCGTTCCTAACATATATCCATGAGGTTGGTTACCATGACACAACAGCTGAGGCGTTTCTCATGTCTAGCCAACATGCAGAACGATTATGAGGACGACGGTGGTGATGGTGCTGGAGTTGCTGCCGTTAAGTGAGCTGATGACGGTAGATCCATTCGACGGTTCTCATGGAGACGTCACTGTGTCACAGTTCCTTACAAGTCCAAGGAGCCGATGACGATATACGTGACTGCGTTGATTCGGGAGAACTTTCATCCACTTCCATTTATTTCTAACTTGTGTCTTGTGTGGAGGCACGATTGTTCCGTCTGGTTAAGCTGTCATCAAACCATGGTTTCTGAAAGCGGATCACTGACCGAAAACGCGGCGCCTCACGACCGATTCCGAACTTGTTCGCTCTCACCAGGTAGAGGCAGCAGCCACTCGAATCCGGGATCGTTGGGATGTCCACCGAGTGCCTGCCGTCTCTACCTGATTAGATGCAACAAGTTCGAAACTAGTCGCAAAGCGCAGTATTTTTGAGGCGGATAGCATCCAATGTTCATCTGCTTCGGTCACAGTAATCGGATTGACCAGGGTTCACTTCAGTGCGAATCGCGGTTCACGTTTAGATTGCGCATTCGCAATCCATTCACACAACTAGTGCTTCAAAATCACACCTCCAATCGACTTAATAACCGATTTTCGGATGACATTTAAGAGGTCCATTTGTCTCATATATGTGAAGAATATGTCCATGCATACTTCCGCGAAACCTATGCCACATTAATGACTATTTACGTTGTATATTTCCACCGATTATTTAAGTGTGATTATTCGATACGAATCAGTACAGTGTTGGTAGACAGGAGTTTCATTTTCAGCCACATTTTGTTTCTCCTCTGTTATTCCCCAACGGATCATGTCTCGCGATACACATCATGTAACCGCCTGTCGAAGCAATGCTCAGTCTTCAAAGCATACTGAGTAAATATCATAGATCACTTGGAAGTCTAGTCTTTGTCCCAACGTGTATGTTCTGCAGAGGCCCAGTTTGCAGTCCAAATTTCGATGGAAATAAAATTTCATGAATTTACACATAAAGGTATTGATTTCTATTTTAGATACGTGCTGGGAAGTTAACCATCGCTCATCAGCTCCTTACAAGTGCAGTTTTCTTGGTGGAAAAGTTGCGCACTGGATTGGGAGATTCCATCATGGAAGATTTCGACGAATGTGGTGAGTGCATGCGCGGTTTCTCTCACATTCGAAATTAACTTCTTACTTTCAAATATCCTACCTTTCGCTGTTACGTGGTGTCCGTTAGACAGTATGGCTTGATTTGGGCGAGGCACATGACGTCTGTTCCAACGAACTTCACGGATGCTTTTGCTGAAGACCAATTATAGGCAACTGGTACCTCCTAAAGCAATGATTCCTATCCTGTAGGAATTTACTCCCAAATGGGTAGAGTTGCGATTTTACGAGGGGTCAAAATAAGTATATGAATTGGATCACCGTTCAGTCACGAAGCAAACTTATTAACAAAATCATCTATATCAAAGCATCTGGCTAACTACGTACTCACAAATGATCAGTCATTAGTGACAACGCATCAGTGATTGCCTAGTGAATCGAACGATTTCAAGTAATAAATGTTGTCACCTTAAATACTAATACCAACCTGCAACGCAGTACCGCTACATGGCGGGTCTATCGACATGCTCGTCGATTGTTGTTCCTTTGAGTCGGGCAGTCGTTCGCCATTCTGTGACCAATTCCTGTATTTTAAGGTTGTTGTCGACAATAATGCAGTCATTTCCGAATGTTTACGAAAATATCACCTACGCTACAGTCACTTGCTCAAAAATAAGTGTTTTTCTGTTCTAATGATTGAAATTCATTAAAATAAGAAGTTCCCTATAAGTTAAAACAAAGAGGTGCCATGGCTGATGGTTTGTTTGTTTTTCAAACTAGAATAACTGCTTATACTGCATCAGCTCTGCGGGCTGTAGCTTCAAAAAAATTCGGAACCACTGTCCTAAAGATGGTGAGCACACAGGTAGCCTGAACTCCTAATCGGTTAACACTTATGATTGGTACTTAACGAGGAAGATGTGATGGACTCGGTCGCAAATGACCGGCAATAACTTATCAGCTTCAACGATTGATTGCATTTCCTCGCAATGAGGCTAGCTCTTACTTAACTCTACAAGGCGCAATCACTTCTTTCTCCTCCAAAAGCTTGCTGCCTACGGTATCGACGATTCCCTGCTCACCTGGTTAGAGGATTACTTACACGACGGAGCAATCAGGGTAAGAGTAGCGGGCACTCACTCTGCAAGCCTGTGCGTCTCCAGTGGTGTACCGCAAGGATCCATCCTCTATCCGCTACTGTTTTTAGTCTACATTAATGAGCTTCCAGCAGACATTCTATCCCTGATGCAAATATTTGCAGACGATGCTAAAATATGGAAAGTAATTCGCTCAGCATCCGACCGTGTCTACCTCCAAGAAGATCTGACTCGGATTAAGGAATGAGCAGATAGGAAACGGCTCCCACTGAACCCTGCAAAGTGCCACCTGCTGAGGGTGCGCAACATTTTCGTCAACACACATCTTTTGAAGTAACACGTCCTGCAACACGTGACTAGTGAACGCGACTTAGGTCTAATAGTGCAAGAGAGTCTTGGAAATTCGCTCCAATGTTTTGAAGCAGCAAGTGTGGCGAACTTGAACTTGAGACTTTTGAGGCGAGCTCTCGGCACCTTTGAGCGACGGCTGGTACCAATGTTGATTAACTCCTATATTGCCCTCACGTTGAATATGCAATTCAGGCCTGGTGTCCATAGTTAAATGGAGACATCCGTCTACTGGAGCAGCCCCAAAGAAGAGCCACAAAAGCAACGTGTGGACTATCCGGTCTAAGTTACGAACTGCGTCCTCGTGTACTCATTAGAATACCGACGGCTTCACGGAGATTTTACTCTCACATACCGCATAATAACTGAAAGAGAGTATCCATGTACATCACTGTTGATTCTAACCCGTTACAAACAAAGTCGAGGAAACCACCTGAAACGAATGACTCAACACTCCCGTCTGAATTGGAGAAAGTATTTTTACGCACTTAGGATTTGTTCTCACTGGAATGCATTACCAAGCTATATGGTGAACGCACCAGACATGAGGACATTCGAAAGACTCTTAGACTTTCATCTTACTGCTAAACGCTACACAACAGGTTGATAAAGTGTAATGGTTTAACCATTGATACTTCACGTCCCTCGTTGGAACATTTTGATTTTAATTTACTTTTACATATCCATCCTGTGGTTCTTGTAAAGTTATGCTTTCTATCCCATCATACACTATTGAACTATTGAAGGGATATCTTTCTGCACACCACGAAGCACTCAGCGTGGGAGTTTGTTCTCAAGTTTGTTCTAGGACCTACCCTACTGCACTGTTAAAGAAATGTTGGTTCTTCTCCCGGGTTCATCGCACGTGTCCTCAGTTCCATTATGTTTATCTAAATAGCTCATTGGTAAATGTCGGTCATTCCGTATGGCGTTGTCCATTTTTAACTTTTGCAAAACCACATCATTTGATGGATCATGATGCGTCAGACACGGTTCCACTTCATCAAATTGACTGAACTGATATCCCTATTGGATATTTTGGACAATATTTGGAACCAAACGAGAAGTGATCGTTTCAAAAGGTTTGGCAAACGGCCGGTTAGTGTATTTGTTATACTATACAACGTTTCGCTTTTGCCTCCAAAGCTTCATCAGACGGAGCGAATTGGCTTAAAGGTGAGTGGCGGTTTAAACTACCATATATATATATATATATATATATATATATATATATATATCGCAGGTTAAACTGCCACACCTTTAATCGATATATATATTACTAATGCAACAGGCGTGTTTCCAACAGTGTTGATTAATCGAATAGCGGATGATTTTGCTGATCTCTCCTTTCTTACTTTGCATGTCTACTCTAGGTTACTTATTACGTCTGTTCAGCTTTAGTCATATCTAACTTTGCTTCTCCCATTCCCCTGCTTATTCTACGATTTCGGTTACATTCCATCAAAGAATCAAGTGACTCTGCACAGCAATCGTTTTGGAAGTGGGATAACGCCAGCCAACCTAACAAGACTCGTGACCGACTTAAGTCGATGCTGTGGTTCATCGGAGCCAATCTTCCCTTTCTGACAAGGCAAGTACTCGGATAAGCATTTTGTTAACAAGGCTAGTACTTGTTAGTAAACCGTTGATCACAACAAAGTTTTACGACCCACTCCTGCTAGCCCTGGTCGGCACTTCCTGAACTCCTAAGAGTTCCCATCTGATGATTAGGAAGTACACGTTACTGGTTGGTATACGACTATGATCTAAATGTTTGCAAATTTGTACCTTAACGTCTACATAACTGTCCATCTATGTCGTCCATTACTTGTGAAGCCACACCCCGGATGTATATCCAGGGAGGAGCATCTCTACCTTTCAGATCACTGCGGCGCTTTTACTTTCCGTATCAGATGCCAAAGACTTAGCCACACATCAGATAAACCTGTTGCTTGGTTCATCTAGCTGCGAGGATCTCAGATGTTAACCAAGTTATCGGAGCATTTGTTTGACACACACACTGCAGCGATGGGGATGATCCTTTCAGACACAGAAAGCGACAGTTAGCCGGGTGGTATGCCAGATATTCAAGCTTTGTCTTTTAAACCTGGACTCTTGATTCTGCATCGTTGAAAGCACTGCTTGTTCTTGATTTTTCCCTATGTTTACCCAAAGGGTGATCTACGCTCCCTTCACCCAACCTCGTTTAGTGATAATTCCATGCCTTTTGAATCTTCGCAACTCTTGGTCTGCCGTGAAGACAGAACATAATATGTACTTCTTACAACGGCTGACTCAAATAGTCCGTTTTGTTGCTTTGAGGGACAGTCAGATGTCATCAGCATGATAATGGGCTTACTGTGCGATCGTTATCAAACATCCCTGGCCTTGGTAAACATGGGCTATGTGATTTATCGCACTGGCGTTACACCTTACTGTATCATTCAACTCACCGTAGATCTCTTGGGCGGTAGGTCGTTCTTCATTTTATCCATCTCTTCCAAATGTTGACTTTGGTTAATAATTCGAATGTGTCCACCTTCCAATTGTGTCATCAAGGTATCCATGTTTATTCGGGGAACTTTGTATCAACAATCGTTCGAGTTCCTGGATCCAACAGCTTGGATTTGCTTACCTCACACTTTCTGCATCACAAAAGTGCAAAGAAAACGGACCCGACGTACGGCTTCTTGTGCGCCGGAGCCACGCTTCTGACTTTACTGATGAAGCACGGCGTCTCGCCCCCGTGGTTGTTCAGAATCCGGCATCAACGAGTCAGATTACGGAAGCTCCCACCACTGTGACCGTCAGTCCTAATGGCCAGCTATTAGTATATGGCTCACAATCCGGATCTATCACAGTCGTGGAACTGAAGACACTGAGGGTAATTTTTTAACTCATAACACGTCTCCTCTTAATTTCCATGGTGCATGTTAACAACCGCAGGCTCTTAAGCGAATGGAGCAAGCACAGGGTTTTTACTCTTTGAAACGATAATTGAAGGCTCATTGAGTTACTTGTATCAAGCAGGTTCTAACACGGGCAAATTCATTGTACAATTAAGGGACTCTTTTCATTACTCGCCAGACTCTTGGTTTCGAAACTGCTCGCTACACACTTATCCATTTTTCTCAAACACGTGGAATCATTCGCTGTCTGGACCTGGATTGGTCATAACAAATATGATTGGTCATACAGTCATTAGCTCAAGTGCCAATGCCTTTTCAAATCGCATAGAATCCATCTTGTGAGGTCTGCAGAGGTCGAACTTCCGATAAACCCGGTCAAGTCGCTATTCAAGTACCTGGGTAAGAGTGGACACAGTCGAATCTACACTGTGGCCGGTCAACCGTTGCATCCCACGCGATTAAGCACAACTTCAGCACTTAGTCCGGTGATGGCCACTCTCCTCTTCTTTTCAATCATGCGATAAATGCTAGTGTACGATTCACCCGCATACTGTCCTATCACCCGGAGCGAGATGCAATGGATTGAGTGGGTACAGCCTATAGCCACCAGGCTCATCCGCACTTTACGAAGTGCGCCGCACGAAGACCGGGACAAGATGTCATGACATTACACACTGTCTTATCGTCGAACGCGGATTGACCTCATCATGACTCACTGGATATTACATCTTGGAGATTTACCCGTGTTGAAGCCACTGTTCATCTGCGCACACCAAGCAGCACACGAGGACATCGGTACAATCTTGTCGTACCGGATTTAAAGCGGGTCGCTCACCAACTCTGTTTTGAACGGAGAGTAGTGAATATATGGAATAAATTGTCGCCGCATGTAATCGAGGCAAGTTCGGTGTCGGAATTCAAGCACTTCCCGGACATACACTTTGCCGACATAAAATATCGAGAATACTCTCCAACATAATCGGTCACTGTACACCTGAGAAATCTTTGATGCAGCTACACAGAGATCTCACTTATTGATGCTTCTGTCCAGTATTCAGTAATCACAATGTATCCACCATTGCCTTTGCCGTAAATCCCTGAAGATACGACTAGTAGTGCAACATTTGGACTGGATCCCGGTATGCCTGAAGTACCTTACATAGTGGCCACATTTGCTCCCTCCTTTTGAAACCTGATTACCCAACCGGCCCTCACTTAACGTTGCTTAGCCTGGAAACGGTATATGTGCCCTCACGAATCAAATGACTGAAGCACATCGAATTCGTTTTTTTTCAGTTAGGCTCAACACCAGCAATTGTATATGTTCTGGATCTGTAGTTAATCGACGGCTGCGATGTCACTCCCTGTCTACTGGCCTATCACCGGTGGTAGCAGAACACATGCTCACAAGCGCAGAGGTATTCAGTGTATTGTGTAACTTGTAAGCCTCACCACAGGCACTTTCTAACTGCTTGCGTGCACGGTACCACGATCCCACGATCTCTAGCCTATCAAATGGTTAGCTAGCTTCTGTCTGCGAACGATTCACTTCTTAGTAATACCATATCTACCATATTTACTCCGCCATCTGAGATTTTCTCGTAGATATACCCCGAAACTACTTTGAGCATTGAAAAAAGATGTCTTCCAATAGGTGACCCTATAGAGTTTAGGTCCCTCCATCTATACCAGATCGCCCCTCACTTGTGCTCGACAGCTTTCATCCAGTGATCAATATCCCCTGTCCCCGAACAAATTGCAGGGACTGAGGGGGGTAGTCACCTAAGGTCGCGACCCTTATTTGAGTCCTAAGAATTTTGTGGTTGCTTGCTAGTATACAGGCATTATGGTACTTGCATTAAAGCTGATGATACTTTCCGTCAATATTCTGCGAGCCATCTTCTTTTTCTTCCCACATTTTGCCATCCTCCGGCCACCGCATTTAATTCACGAGAAAGCACATGTAACCACTCCAATAAGTTGGCGAAAGGCGCGATGCACATATTGTGAATCCGAAAGCATACCAGCGGACACATTTATTTTCTCGATTCTTTTGACCTGGTTATATTGGAAGTTGACTACATCTCTACTCACCCATCGAGCATCTCACAACTCTGGCTATGCTAACTCCACACCGAGCGCGCTTCACAAACCAAGTCTACTAAATCGTAATGGGTTCGATCCTAGCATAAATATGGAACGATCAGGGGCAGCCTGAAACAAGCGCAGTTGATTAGCGGTCGACACGGACCAACTTTGGTCACTTACAGTTCCGAAACTAATTTTCAGAAACCGGGCAAACATAGCTTCATGGATCATTCTGAAGCCTCATTCATTTAGTGTTGGAAACTGCAGGCCTATTTGTGCTGCGGCCACAAACTTGGTAAGTTTCTGCACTAATAGGATATCGCAACCACATCCTGTTTGATAACCTCATCTATCAACTCTTCTGCACCATCAGGTCCTGCGGTCGTTGTTCGGCCATCGAAGTGCCGTACTCTGCCTCTGCTTCTTATCAACGGAGGAGAGCAGTGCTGATTTCCGTTCGGACATCAAGTCTTTCTCTAATGACTCGAGATTCAGACTAGCCAGTACCGCGCAAGACAGTTCCGTTTACCTGTGGGATATTGCAATCGGCTTGAACAGCCTCGGAAAATGCGAATTAACTACGGGTGCAAAAATCGCATCTCTTGGTGGTTCTCACAGAAACGCAGTTACTTCTTGCGCGTGGCACCCTGGAAGACATATTTTAGTCACCGGCGGTTTGGACTGTCAGATCATTTTATGGACGCTGCCCACAAATTTAGATGATCTGACCCGACTCCAATTCGGTTCTCAGTCTTCGCTACCTCCTCACAAGTCAATGAGTGACGGATTGGGTCCTGTTAGTGCGGTCGCGTTTCGTCTACCAGAGTCTGATCACTCCGCGTCCTCTCACCCACGTGATGTATTGGCTGTGGGATCTTGGGATGGCACAGTACATATCCTCGATATGGTTACGTGGAGATTTTGTAAGGTGAGCCATCATCCCGCTTCCGCCGTTTTCATTTCGTTGTAACATTGTACTCTCGCCGTTGCATTCATGCTACTTCCTTGGTCGCGCCCTAATTCTGTTCCCTGATTATTCGCAAATACATTGATAAGACGAAGTTCGGCCGGTGCATGCGTTTCGTATTGTATCGCCTTGTGCTTTACACCAGCTGATGGAATTCTCTCAGTGCATTTTCTTTGTATATTTTTTCAGTTATTCAACTATTTGCCTAACACAATATCTCGCTGTATGAGATTTGTGATCATAAGCCCACTGATGCCACAGCTTGGTGATTCTTGACAAAATTTCAGTGCTCATTGCACCAACAAGCATTCGAATGAGCGATTATTAGAGTGATGATCGACAGAGACAAGGCTAAACCCGATATGTACCGAGTATGTCAACGAATAACTACCCTATGATTGCTTGGATGCATTTCAGTCTCTTTAGAACCAGGTTGCAGTTTGTCGCCAATACAAATACGTTAAGAGGTATATATCCGTTTACAAATAAGTTTACTCTCCATAATTCCGTAGTCGAGAAATAGCGTAGCGCTTGAACAAACACTCGGTGTATTATGTCCGCCAAACTGACTATCTTGCCGGGCTGATTTATGCGAACGCTGGACACGATTGATAGTGCATATAATGAGAGTACGTTTAAGAGTGACCGTACGTTTCTGAAATTGGTGTGAAGGGTCTTCTGGACTATGCTTTCATGTGTTCAGCTCACAATTCAGTTTCTCTTGATTGACTAACAGTCGTAGAGGGGTAGTCCAGGCGCATTTGATGTAAACGGCACGTTTCATTTGGACGGACCTCATGATTGGTTGTCCGGCTACCCCAATGATAGTGTTTCGACAAAATTGTATAGTCAGTGGTAAATTGCGGGTATGAAGGCCAAAGCTCAACACGTTCCGCAGAATGAGGGTGGCGTTTTCAAAACAAAAGCAAAATACTCACCGAAATCCTTCCATTCATAAGTAAAAGCAAAACAGCCAATGCAGTGGATTTGTCGAGCAAAATTTTGTCAGTCTGAGTAGTTCACTTATTGTTTTAATGGAATTTTAAGTACCACCGCCTTTAGTGTTTCTAGAAATACGGATTTGGGTTCATGCGATTTTGCTCTCTGAAGATGTGTGTGGTTCATGTTTGTTATCTTATGTGGTGTATCCTTGCACAGATTGAATTTGTCATGAGCTAAGTGGCACATTTTAATGTGTACTCGAGGCGAAATACATCTAGTTGAGCATAGTTGCTTCGAATTGGTCTCTAATTTTAGAAGCAGTCGGTGTACTCCTCCTCTGTTTCATTATACTATGTCTGCAGGCCTTGAACGCTGTTCATTGTCCTTTATGATGAGATACTTCCTCAGCAAATTTGCAACGAACAAATAACGGACTAAAGCTAAGTTTTAAGGGCAGAGCAATAGAATATACCTAACGCGAAATCATCTTCCATCCGACAGCTACAAACTGCCAACTGCTAATGTTGCGCAGCAGCTTCAACAACACATATAGTTTGGGGTATGACATCCTACAACACGTCGCTAATGAAAGAGACTTGGGTGTCATCGTCCAAGAACGTCTGTGCGATTCGCTCCACTGTTCGAAGTCAGCAAGTGTAGCGAACTTGAACGTAAGGCTTTTGAGGATAGCTCTTGGTGTCTTCAAGCAACTGTTAGTACCCCTGTTGATTAACTCCTATATTCGTCCCCACGTTGAGTACGCTGGTGAAGCCTGGCGTCCATGGTTAAGACGAGACGTTCGTCTAAGGAGTGCTACCAATGCAACACTTGGACTATCTGGTCTCAATTATGAAACGCGTCTTCTTTTAGTCGGTATGTTCTCTACTCCGACAACTTCGCGAGGATCTCATTCTCACATACCTTACTAGCAATACCAAAGCCACCACTTAAAACTAGTGACACGACACTCGTCTGGATTGGAGAAAGTTTATTTTAGTCACTTGGAATCTGTTCATAGTATGATCCATTAGCAGCACTTGTGCCGAACGCATCAAACATCGCGACATTCGAAACCTTCATGTAGGTGATAGAACCTACCTAACAGTGTGCTACAGTGCAATATCTAGACTGATGGTAATTCATGTTTCACACCAGAACATCTTGGTTTTACTTTTCTTTTGCATTTGTCATGCTGGGGGTCCTTTAAAGGCATACTTGTTATCCCATAGTACACTACTGAACTATGGAACATTAGTGGCTGAAGGGAAGTAGGAACTCAACGGATGCGGTGGCATGGTCACCTCCAAGCTCCGTCGATGCCTCTCCTCAGCCATATAATTTTGTCATCCTTGGGATCATAGTCCGCCCGCCACAACGAATTTATCTTCACAAATGGCGGTGGACACAGCCAAGTAGGTTGCTGTGGGCTGGAAAACGAATTCGAATCGAATTCAAAGTTGGATCCGGCGTGCCCGCCATATGGTTGGATTGCGATACGCAATCTCTATTGTGATCTCGGTTCACTTTGAAGTAAAGCTCGGTTATTCCGATCACAAAGACCGTATCCGAAATGGAGGTGTCAGTGTTGGGAGGAGCAACACCGAAACACCTCTAGACTCTAATCGACTTGTTTCTGTTGTTCGGCAATGACAGCACATAATGTACGAGGCATTTGAATGCTAAGTGTTCGGGTGAGGTTTTGGTCAAGCAAGCAAGTCTCTGTGCTAGTATGGGTATCGGCAATATGCCAGTACCTTTTACCGGCGCTCTGATACAACGCAACCGCTGGGATACTGAGAGACCACCGCACCGAAGCAATTTCGGACCAGTAACCCTTGGGTTTTAAGTCGAACATCTGAACCACGCCACCACAAGTGGGATCCTAGTTCTGGTTCCACTCCCTGCTGATCTAAATGTCGTTTTTAGCAGATGTCCTATAGGTAGGTATAAGATGTAACGTCAAGCTAACGTGATATCCTTGTCCATCTACAAGAATTCGATCTCACGCACCAGCCAACGATGACCAACTTCGTTTTCGGGCCGGTCTATGGATTAGATAGATGACTACATCATGTTTCTACATTGTTTAGCATTCAGTGAAATGGCGCTGCTCGATCATTACTAGCTGTCAGGCCTCTGGTCTACCTGTTTGGGTTCCATGCAACGGGAGTGGTATATAAAGGTTTGCGGAGTACTCCCATATGGATATCAAAGTTTATCCTGGTATCAGTATTTACACGCACCTGTTTTCTACTGAGATACAGCTCTGTACACCATTTTGCTCTACCTAAGCCGGTTTTAATGATAATCGGCTATAGGTTACTCTGTAGTGTGTTCACTACAAAAGCATTCATACAGTAGTGACTTTGGTCAGAAGGTCACCCCGTGCTGCCCCATACGTGGATTTTCCGATACCTGTCTTTCGCATTGGAAGAGCCAACTTTCTTGATACCACTGTCTGTCAGGTTATCATAAATTGTTCATTCGGATCAGGAAAACTCACGGAAAAAGCCAGCGGCACTGGTTTGACAGAATCAGTGGAGCGCATTTTTACATGTGACGCTTTCAAGACACCACGCTGTCCTGATAGTGACACATTTGATCATTCACGCTTCTAATTGGGGCCGTCGGTCCGTGTTGGCAGACACTGATTAACTATCCACACGCCTCCATCGCCTCATAAGCTAACATCGAGCGGCGTTTGCTTGACCCAGGGCTAAATGCCTCTCCAAGGTGTGACAACTATACCCGTCACAGCTTTACTTTATCTGAGCACTTAGCTTTTCAATCACCTTTTATTCGCCTCAGATTACTACTGTTATGGGTACTCATTTCAGAGATTACACGTTTCATCCTCGGCCATATCATCCATTGCCTACTCCCTGGATGGCGGCGCGGTATTGGCAACACAAGACGTAGCGGGCCAATTGTTCCTGTGGAATAGCGACACATATTCTTTACTCAGTGGTATTACACCAAAACTTACAAGGCTACCGACTGGCGATGAAAACGAAACACCCGACTTAAGTGATTGTTTGAGTGGCCAAATCTGCTTCTCACGCCCTCATGGTCATTTTCTAATTCAATCTGGAGGAATTCACAACAAAAATGGACAAATATCCGTGTGGAACGCGCAGCTCGGCAATTACTTGAGTAAGTTCCGCATCTAATTAAATGTTTGATGTCTAAACATTTATTCCTCGGCTAAGACGACACCGTGTAGATAGGACTATCTTATGCTATGTTTGCAAACTATATCGGTTAAGTCTGTTGAAATGGAGGCGGTCGTCAGGATTGGAGGCGTTTTGACCTTTCCCGATCATTTTGCTCTGAAGGTGCAAAATGTATATCAGGGTGTGCCACACTCTGTGTCACCATGCTTTACAAAAACATCAACAACAACAGCAGCAGTACATCAGCCGTTTGAACTGATGCTTTGCTGCCATACAACCATAATGACGTATGGAATGTAGAAGAAGAGGAAGAGAAGGAGGCCTTACCTAAAAACCTTATTCTCTAAGCAAACATACAGGGCCAACGCGCCTACACCTTGTCAACAATATACCGTCACAAACAGCTGGCTATCGTGCAAACGTAAGGGGACATCAACGGGACAGCCTCCTTCCGGCTTTCACTGCCCTGCGTCATAGTCAGCCCTTACCCAGCATACTCAACGGCACTTGTATAACAGCAAGCTCCAAATCCATGGGAGTTGCAGTTCCCGTATATGCCACATCCATCACTCGTTACTCAGTGTTTATTTTACTCCAGTATTTCATACAGAACAGAAGCATCCATTATCAGCTTGATCACACGGTTGGGGCGAAAGTAAAACAGCACTGGCTCACCTCTTTTACCATAATTAATCGAAGAAAGAGCTCCTTTTACACCGTTACAACACCCGGGTTTCGCTGAGCGGCGTGATTTAAATTGTAATGGATTTTTCTTACGTCTATGTCAAATAGCCTCAGACACAGGTGTGCTTAAGGGAAGCAAAAGTGACTTCCAAGCATTGAGCGTTACCATCGCGTATCCATCGCCTGTTTGTGCCAAGCTACCCCATCACTTTGCGATATGTAAATGCTTACTTCTCCACTAAAGTGGAATCTGGCCTAGCCAGGGAGTTCGAGCTTGTATGTGTTGCTCTGCCATAGTTTCCATCAACTCCGAACTGGAAAGGTTCTGTGAGTGTCACCCGTCGAACACAGCAGACAAATGTCGAAGGATGGTGTAAGCTGGCTCCCTGGGTTCCAATGACCACTTAGTTGCACTGTCTGCTTTGCATGAAGTGTCAAAAGTGGCTTGATGACGCTTAACTTTGGTAAGGATTATTTGTAACTAAAAAGAACTAAAAGCGAAGCACATCGGCAACCGCGTTCCTTTTTCCCATGACACTCCCTGGCTTGTCTCTACGATGAAGTACTTTCGTTCGAGAGTCTCAGCCTTTCTATTTTGGATCAGTTTTCTTTCTTAAACCAATGGGAGGACTCCAAACCGGACATGTATCTACAATGCCCTGCCAGTTTCTGTCTCAGATTCATCATACTCGGTTCTGGTAGAATGCGTTGAGACATTTCGTACAGTTGTCAGCACCTCATCGAACGGTACATCTACCGTTACAGTCAACAGCAGACAATTCCTGGTGGTTTGCACTGGGAATTAGCTACCCTGAGGGGCTGTGTAACACCACAATATCACCGCTATCTCGCTCCAAAAAGAACCAGTGATTCACACGCTCTAGAATACCCAGCTGAACTATAGTTTCCCATAACCTGAGGTGTTACGACCATCAACTTCGCCCCGGCTTGTTATGTAAAGTAAGTTGATGTCAAACAGCGGCATAGCAATTAGGTTTGCCGCCTGGGGCACGCGTATAGTTGACGCCCCCCTTGGCGGTTGTAAATCCGTAAACCCACACAATTGCGAACAGACCTTAAATATTTCGTTTCATATAACAGCAATCAAAGATCTAATTTTAGGGTGCTGCTTTAGTGCAGGTAGTTGGGCTGTTACAATGCCCGTATACAAAATTTACCGATACACTTTTCGTGCATTACTTGAGGCAATAGCAATTGATGATACCAACCTAATTCAGTTCATTGACCATTTCCACTTGTATGGGGATAGTTGCCATTTCGTTACCCTTATATGGTTCATTGATGATTTAAGGTAGTTCGTTAAAATTTTGCATTTTGAGAATGCTCTCTCACAGCTTGCAGTACTCATAGTTCGAGTAAGGACGATGCTCATCAGATTTCCCTAGGTGATATTTCTATATGAATCTCAAACGTTCAGAGGACACATTACTTTTGTCGTTGCTTGGAGCATTCACAAAATATTACAATCTTCTCATTTTGGCAAGAAATTCCTCAACTTCGCTAAGCGGATAACCATAGTTGTCATCAAGCAGATTTGATGGTGTACAGAAATCATATTTGTTTGCAAAACCATACAGTTGCTGAAAGCTATGGCATTTACTCAGTCAGATTGTCTATGACAGACAGTATCTCCCATGTTAGCATCAAATCACATCGACATATCAAACAATGCTTCACCGTTCATTCGTTTCTTTTGTCGGATTCGACGCTTCCTGCTTGCCCCCAATTCAGAGTGGTGCCTTTTGGATTCATCCATTGCAATGTCCACCATTTTCTCACTTTTCTGAAGAAGGTAAACTGTTAACATTACAATGCTTGACAGAACATTGCTGCAGATTCAGCCCTTTTGTTTAGTTCTATGTGTGCACCCTTGATTTCTATGGGAACAGATCTCCCCAGGCCTCATAAACAAAATAAACAGAAACGACAATACCGAAATGCATCTAATCTTGTGATTGCATTTTCTCCTTATTCTGTGGAGTGTCTCAGAGAATTGATGAATTCCGAGTATTTCTTCGCCACAACATTTACAACGCTTGCTCGACTACTCGACAAGCAAACGCAGAAGCTTCGAGGAGGAGCTTGCAACTGCCGCAAAAACTGCTCCTAAGAGGATCTTCGCATATGTGAAGCGGCGCCTAAGGCCTATAGCTAATATCCCAGTGTTAGAAGGCTCAGAAGGACAGCCTCTAACCTCGAGTACAGATCGTGCGTCAGCATTGGCAACGCACTTCGCCTCCGTATTCGCAAGTGACCAGGTGCCTGTGATAAGTTCGACGAGCACCGCTCCAGCCGAACTTAACAGCCTGGACTGCAATATTGAGGATGTACGCAAGCTTCTAGTAAATCTTGACGGGACGAAACCTGCTGGGCCAGATGGTATACACCCACTAATCCTCAAGTCATTATCGACCATAATTGCACCTTCTGTAACTGAACTGTTTAACAGGACACTATCCACTGGTCTACTACCGGACGACTGGAAATGCTCAGTCGTAAAGCCTATCCCGAAAGGTGGTAACCCAAGCAAAGTGGATAACTACCGGCCGATCTGCCTGACGGCAGTTTTGGCAAAGACGCTCGAGAGGATCGTGAAGAAGAGCCTTCTGCAACTTCTCGAGTCGAAAAACCTGTTAACCTCCGCACAGCATGGTTTCCTGAAAGGTCGTTCGTGCATCACCAACCTACTGTTGACGAGGCACGAATGGTTACAAGCGCTGAACAAAGGCCAATCGGTTGACGTCATTTACATTGACTTCAGTAAGGCTTTTGACAAGGTTAACCATGCAGTGCTCCTTGACAGACTGAGGATGTGCGGTGTTGGTGGTTCGCTGCACAAATGGATCAGCAATTTCCTTATTGATCGGAAGTGGAGAGTCCAGGTGGACAACCATCTAACTGAGTGGTATCCATCGAGCAGCGGCGTGCCTCAAGGCACTGTACTGGGCCCGATATTGTTTCTAATCCATATAAACGATGTGCCTCAGCTACTACAATCACATTGTGCTTTGTTCGCAGATGACTTGAAAGTGTGGAGAGTAATTTTCACACTCAATGATTGCGATTTACTTCAGCAGGATCTCGACCGCCTCTCAACATGGTCTGCAGAGGTTAACCTTCCGATCAACCCTGCCAAGTCGCAATTTATGAGGTTGGGTAAGTGTGAGCACAGCCGAACGTACACAGTGGCTGGTCAACCGTTGCATCCCGCTCCTTTCGTGCACGACCTCGGTGTACTCTCACGCTGCGACCTAAAATCCATTGACAACACGAATAGGCTGTACCAAAACGGCCTTCGTATGCTTTGGGCTCTCAGGCGCAGCTTTAGCACTTGGTCCGAAGAGATTGCCACTCGCCTCTTCGTCTCGACAATACGACCAATGCTGGAGTACGGCACTCCCGCATACTGTCCCATCACTCGGGGCGAAGTAGAAAAGCTTGAGCGGGTGCAGCATGTAGCCACCAGGCTGATTCCCAACTTACGAGGTATGTCATACGAAGACCGATGTAAGAAACTAGGGTTATACACCCTATCTTATCGTCGGCTGAGGGTTGACCTCATCATGACGCACCGGATATTACATCTGGGTGATTACCCCATGTTGAGACAACTACTTCATCTGCGCACACCAAGCTGCACGCGAGGACACCGGTATAAACTTATCGTCCCGGATTTGAAGCGGTTCGCCCATCAACTCTGTTTCGAACGCAGAGTGGTGAATGTCTGGAACGACCTGCCTCAGCATATAGTAGAAGCGAACACCGTGTCTCAATTCAAGATGCTACTAGACCAACAATTTGCAGAGGCAAAGTACAGAGAGCGAAACGATAAATAAAAAGTTCATGTCCGAAAACGACGAATGATGCAGCTACACAGAGCAACCTCTACTCGCTGCTTCGCACCAGTTCTCAGTTCTCTGGCCACGGTAGTCATCAAGTTGAATTCAATCCTTCTCCGGGTCTCTCAGGACCCATCCAGCAATTTTCACTGTACTTTTGCTCGTGGTCTCGATGAGGCTGAGAATTGACACATCTGCCGTCACTTTATTTTCACTCATCTAATTTTTGTGGTATACATCGGGAGTACTATCAGAAAGCATGCTTTTTCTGACCTGATCCGCGATATTATTTCTTATCTGCTTTACCAAAATGCTCGCTAATTCATTTTGAACGTGTGGCGACAAAGAAAAAGTGCTGGTTTTCCTTCCCGGCTGAACTGCCACCAAAGGTTCGCGAAGAACAGGTTCATAATTGTCCAACAAATGCATGAATTCT